ATGTCTCTGGTGCAGCAGTGGTCACCCTAGGCCAGGACTGCAGAGCACCCCACAAGTTTTCTTAGGACCAATTTTGTAAGAATACTTCCATAGAAGAAACCAGAAGCAAGGGTGTCATACAGCCCTCACAAATGAGGTCCCAGGGAGGGAGGCACTGGGTAGGGGTGGGGGTGTCCTCAGCATAGGACAGAGTCCAGAGGGGCTATTTGTTTCCTAAAAGGCGTGAAACCAGCTGTGCCTGCACCACAGTGGGCTCCTGGAGCCACACAGGGTCCCCCATCAGGACACAGTGGCCTTGTGGTCTCCACTGGCCAAGTTAGCTGCAGCCAGATGAGACACCTGGGCCTTGCTCCCACCCCCACCCCTCTACCCCCCCCACCCCACCCCCCAGCTGCCAGAGGCTGACCCAGGCTGGGGAAGCGCCACTGTGGCCAGCAGACCAGGGCCACGGAAAGAAAGGGGGACAGGTCTCCTGGGGGACGTACAGGTCATTCCACCTGGTCTAGCCCTGAGCTCCTGTGATGTGCTCCTTCCTGGGGACAGGCAGGCTGGGTGGCAGCTCAGCCCTACTGCATCCTATCCAGTTTCTTAACTCCTTTGTGCCTCAGTTTCTTTATCTACAATATAGAGATAAAAATAATCCCCAAACCTCACATTCTTGTTGAGGGTTTTGAATAGTTAATACACATCAAAGGTTCAGAACAATGTCTGGTGCATCATAAACGCCCGATAGTCATTAGCCTCCCTTATGACCATTAGCCATTACACTTATGTATTATTTATAACTAGAGTTGTTATAAAATGACCATCATGCCTGGTCTGGCTTCATTAATACCAGAAGAATAAGAGTAGTAAGTGGTTAAGCCAGTGGTTAATTCTTGATCACTTATAAATATATTCTTTGCTCAAAGCTTCATAAACTGCTCTGCAGCAGCCTGGATATTTTAAGATGCAAGGGAAGAAATGGCTGGAAAAACCCTAAGGGTCAAATAAGATTATTTCATAACTGGGCCTCTTTTTCATTCACAGGAATTATACTAAGCTTGATTTTCCTTTTCACTCAAAGAAAGTCAATGGAAGTATCCATCCTTCTCTATCTAACACATATTTTAAAGTAGTTTTGCACAGAGATATCACTGGTCATAATTCTATTTTCTTTCTTTGAATTGAAGGAAAGTTTTAAATACATTTAAAACCATTTGTGTCCAAGAGTAGATAAGGGTGACTCTGGGTTTCAACACTGGTTGAGCGGCACCATGGAGACCCAGCGGTGTATCTGGGAGGACTCTAACAAGTCATTCTGCTTGTAAAAGTGTCTGTTTGTCAAGCTCAAGTGACTTACCCCTTTTCCTTGAGGGTTGGATATAGTGCTGACCGAAAGTTGCCTTTGGGGTGCTTTACCCCCTAGGGGGGCTTGGTCTGTTTGGGGGTGAGTGACTGTACAGAAATGACTCAGCAAAATCCGGCAGCACCTTGGAAGGGAGGGGTGGGGGCTGACTCCCCTCACTACCCACCCATCTCTCCCAGGCTCTCCTGTCAGGCTCCCTGACTTACTTCCATGCTGGTGGGGACCAAACAGAGGCAGGCTAGATCCCCACACCTCACTGCCTAGATATGCAGCATTCAGACTAGAAATGCTGACATTTGGGGTTCACTTGTGGATGCCCCTCTGTATGGTCCTTCTTCAAATTACAGTCAGCCCTCTATATCCACAAGTTCTGCCTCCAGGGCTTAACCAACAGAGAATGAAAAATGTGCGCTATGTAGTTAGGAACACGAGGCTGTTGAGTCTGTACTGAATGAGTTCACCTTTTTCTTATCTCTGTTCCTGAAACCACACAGCCTAACAACCATTTTCACAGCACCTGCTTTGGGCCAGGTATCATCGGCAGCCTGATTTCAGGACATGGAAGGAAGGACGAATATAAGATGCAAATATTATACCATTGCATATAAGGGGTTCAAGCATCCCCAGACTTGGCATTCTGGACAGTGGGGCCTGAGTCCAATCCCCCAGGGATAATGAAGGACAATTGTAGAGAGAGTCAGCCATGCCTCAGCTTCCTCCTAATGGGGCTGCTTCCCACAGGTCTCTAATGGCAGCCCTTTTCCTCTGCTGTAACCTTCCCCTAGCTGCGCTGCCAGCCTTTTGGCTTAAGCTCGAGGTCAGGAGAGGGTGGTGTGGACAGAGAATTCCAGGTACCTGGCGGTCCCTTGGAACACAGTGAGTGCAACGCTAGTATTGAAGCATAGGCTGGGACCTCAGAGGGACCTGCAGACCGGGTCCTCCTGTTGACCATGAGGACCATCTTCCTGAACCACCACAAAGCCCGGATCAGGGATGCAGGGCAGGAGAGGATGCAGAGGTCACTGCACTCCACTCCTACCCCTGGGAAATGACCATTACACCCTGGCCCTGAAACTCGGGAGCCCGATGACACTGCTGCACCACTTGTGACCTGTCTGCACTAGGATGCCCACACCTCCAGTGGACACCGACCTCTGCTCACACCAGGTGGCACCTTCCTTCCACTCAAGAGGAAAGGCAGGCAGACACGTCACACATGGTCACACAGGCATGCACAGTCCGGTCTTTTTTCACTTTCTGCTCAGCCTGGCTTGGGACATTTAGAAGTTCAAGGATTTCACCATAATGGAGAAAAAACAGAGTGAGGACTGTGCATGGAGAGAGAGCAGCGAGGAGAGGTGTGTGGGGACAAGCCCTTCTCATTTCTAAGCCAAATGATCATAGCAGAACAGGCAAAGCTAGACAAGGACCCTGAGGAAGGATGTGAGCCATCATCACTGTGGGGTGCTCAGCAGTCCTGACTCAAATGCCAGGCAGGTGACAAAGGTGATGACACCCAGATGTCTAAGCATCTGCCTTCCATGCAGCAAGAGCCAACTTCTCTCTCTCTCTCTCTCTCCCCCTCTCTCTCTTTTGCTCTCTGTCTGCCTCTCTTCACTCTCTCCCCTTATGAACTGGGGAACAATGGACTGTGTAGTTAAACTTGTGGTTTGGGACAGGTTGGCTGAATATTCCAGAAAGACTGAAATGGCTAAATGTAAAGATGACTTTTCACTGGAAACAGAAGTCTGATTCTTCCCCTCCACAGGAACTGGCGAGTCCTTTCTTTCCTCAAAGGACAGGAACAATGTCACACTGTGTGTTACGGCTGGTGCCCTCAACCTGTGCTGTCTAGACTTCGGGCGCTTTCACTTAAAAAGCAAAATAAAATAAAAATAAAAACAACCCCTCGCCACCTAGGCACCACTCTACCATCTTAAAACTATTTCTGGCGGGAGAAGAATGCTTCATTCAGGAACCGCCCCGACGGGGGGACTGTGGGCAGGAAGAGCTGGAGGCCTGGACACTGGGGGTCGGATGGCAGCCTGTGGGCCCCTCAGCCCAGGATCACCTGACCCGTGGAAGGCGTTTTCCAACAAACATAGCACAAGAAAGCAAAAGCCTGCTTTATCTCAGAGAACTTGAGTGTCAGTCTCCCCAGAGAAAATGATACTTCAAAATGTCAAGAATGAGATTTGCTTGCTTGTTGGCTGGCCTTGGGGAGATCACTCCAAGGCCTGCCTTTACAGTGAACAGCAGGACCAACACACAATTTTTCAAAAGACCCTTCCATGACTATGTATCCAACTAATACTTTCTGAATTCCTAATACACTGCAAGGCATCATCAAGAAATACTTTAGGCCACCTTTTATAGCAAAGGGCATATTGTAAGAGATGGATACATTCAAGGATGAGGCAATCTCAAAAAGTGATCTATATTTATCGATAAAGCAAGGGTCACTTTTAATTACCTCATCATTTCTTTTTCAGACACGTATTTTCCACATGTAATAATGAGCTACAGCTAGAAAGCAATGCATTCCATTTTTTATCAGCTATTAAAGTTTAGAGACACACCATCCTCCTTCTTAGAAAGGAGGCTGCAATGGCAGAATCAGAAGACTGATTTGATTTCCTTTCCTCATGGAGTAGTATTTTTGCTTCTGATTTATTTTATAGCTGATTTTTTAAATAAAAATTTGGCATAAAAATGATGCTTCGCATCATTTTTGCAAAGCAAAATAAGTCAGAAGGAGAACAACAAACACTGGATGATCTCACCCATCTGTGGACTATAAGGAAACAAAGCAGGTGAGTGGACAAAATAAAATAAAAATAAGCCAGTGGACTTTGACAACAAAACTTAGGTTACCCAATGGACCCTCCAATGGTGGTTTTTTCCTTTGAATAATAAATACATAATAAAAAATCAGTGTCTGATTTAAATAACTTGCTGTATCAAACAAGGCTGGGCGTGTGCTACCCATGGAGAAAGATGTGGCCAGGGCCCCAGAGTGCAAAGCTCAAGACCCCCTTAAGTCTATGGAAGTGTTATCTGAGTCCAGATAAAAGCAACTCAGAGCTTCTCTGCACTTTGGATAATACCCCTCCTGTAACGGAGAAGGGGCAGAAGCTGCCACTCCTGTCCTTGACCAAAGGAGTCACCGTGCAGGCTTTGGGGGCCGGCAGGCTGGACTGCGGCCATCAATGGGTGACAACAGAGGGGACACCCACTGCTGCTCCCCATCAACACTCCAGGCAGGCAGGGCCCTGGTGTGGTCAGCTATGCTAACTATTATGGATGAGACTCTCCAACACCAGGCTGAGGGTTCAGCTGAGGAGCCAATTCCCTACGCTAAAAGAGGGAAGTGACAACCAAGAACAAAAGGACTCAGAACAGACATGGGTGAGGAAGAGATACTGTTTCTGCCTTCACAATTCATAAGAGACATACTTATACATGCATGCCACATGCCTGGGCACATGTGCGCGCGAGCACACACACACACAAACACACACACACACATGCATCCTCCCTATGGGCCGGGGAATGTGTGTGTAACTAGCGCCTCCTTCCTCCTCAGTGTGCTGCAGCAGGGTCAGGTCCAACCCGACGAGCCTGCACAACCGGGGTACGGGGAGAGACTCACCTGGGTCTCTTGTCCGCAGCAACGATGCACGTATGCTGTGCGGGCACTGCCGTCCACTTCTTCGCCTCCATCACAAGGGCCTCTGCATCCACCAAGCCAAATCCGTAGAGATGGCTAACTGAAAAGACAGGGCCTTCAGACCCGGCTGCCTTTCCTCCCCCAGGGAGGGAGCAAGGCCCGGTTCCCTCACTCAGCCTGGCTCCCGGGTAAAGCACGGGCTTCATGACTGCAGAAACACTGGTGTCACAGGAGGGCTGCAGGGGCCGAGACCATCCCTTAAGCCCCTGGTGCAGGGCCCGCCTCTGAGGACAGCTCACAGGTCCCACCTGCTTGACTTTCTCTCTGAACCACATCCCTTGGGGCCAGGTGGCCGAGCCAGGAAACATGTCCCATAAGGTGCAGAGTGGACGTGTGGAGAGGGCCACATACTTTGCTCTCATGAGAAAGGGACAGGCTTCCCTACATTAAAGAGACTCACTGGTTTCTGTGCTCCCTGAATCTTAAACCAGACAAAAGAAACAGCCTGGCACCTCGGGGTTCACACAACCATGATGTGCAATTAACATGACAGGGCAAGGCTGTGCTCATCTCTTGCCATTTCCTTTCCTGCTGCATCTCCAGGGCATTCAGAGGAAGCAGCATTGCACAGCACACGGCCTGTGAGGGTGCCTGTGAGCTGGCCCGATGCAATGTTTAATTTGGCCAAGGCAGGAGAGTTTCAAGGTTTAATTCTAAGAGGCAAGGTTGAGAACTTGATATAATCTATTTTCCTACTTAATTAGGCCAAAATTGAAATGTAGGTCAGCTCTTGTCATTACAGCATACCAGTGCCACCAACATTCCTGCAAAATAGAGGTGCTCAGGCCTCATCAATGACCTCCTTTGGAAAGGAATGGCCCCTGGAACGTAGGGAACAACGCTTGACCTACATTTTACAGCAGATAGGAGTATCAGGTTGGTTGTCGAAAGAATTGGATCTGAGCTCCAGAAAAGGGAAAAAAAAAAAGTCCTCCCTAATACACCATGGCTGAATGTAAATGTTTTTCAAGAATCTCTGCTAAGAAGCCAAAGCCAGTGGCACCGTCTAACAATTACCTGCTTGAGAGGTTCTGAATATCTGGGTTACGAACCATGACCATGGGTTGATTTCATGGTACTTGGGTCTGTACCAGGCAGTGATGAGGGTGGAGGCCTCATTGTTTGATGACTTAATTTTAGAATATGAGGGTTTGCCAATAGAAGTTTTATAGTTGGAAAGTAACTTACAAAACTATCTCAATGTCCTCGCTCTACAGATGAAGAAACTGGGGGCTACTTTCAAAATCATAGAGCTGCTCAGGGCTAAGTGTACAAGTTACTCAAAGGTGGCACACACAAACATTATTGATCTTAATGACTATGGATTTGTTTTTAATGTGCATGAAAAAATAATAATGATCTATCAAACCTATGATTAACTAGATGTAATAAGTATCAAGGAAAAGGCAGCCCATTTAAAGAGAATGACTAAGTTCATACTGTGACACTTGGTGCCAAGATGTGGTAAAAAGCATGCAATTTAAGGGCCTTGACCTTAGTGACCTCAGGTTTCTCTGTTAATGTAAATGTGATGTTTTGGGATGTTTTTTCTTAAAATTTCTAGATACATAATTTTCATTCTTGTGACATACAACTAATATTATTTGGAGATTCTTTTTTTTTTTTTAAAGATTTATTCATTTATTTATACAAGAACCGGGGTACAGGCCAGATGCACGGGAGGGTGAGAGGATTCACCAGAGACAGAGTGGGAAACAGAACAGGCAGACTGATGAAATACACTGCTGAGGGCAGCAGTGGGCGAGACAGGAGAGGTCTGCTGCACCATGTGGGACCCTCGCCAGCCAGCCTGGATCGAATAGGCGCTGCCGAAGCTGCAGACAGCTTCACAGCGCTGCGCTCAACCACTTGGGCCACCAGGGGAGGCCCTATTTGGAGATTCTTTTTGAGCATTTCACATGACCCTTTCCTGTAGATCCCAGGAGGTCACCTAGAGGAGCCCACTAGGAGGGATGATCAGTCCTCGCCTGGCCCAGCAGAAGACACTCACCTTTATGACCAGCACCGTTGACTTTCCAGTCACTGGCTTTCAGGTGCGCTGGCCTCGATGTCTTTACCAGCAGGTGTTGGACATCCCTCCAGGTTAACTGGCTGCTGCAATGACACAGGGACAGGCTATTGTTGCCCACCAGACCCATAATGATGGCCGCACAGGCCCAGCAAAGACAGTGCCCCTGGAACAAGCCTTAAGTCTGGACTTGAGGGGGACCTGCAGGCTCCATTCCGGGAAGGGCTTATATCACTATCTCTTTGTAAAGAATGATTTCCTGAGATAAAATAGTTCCAGGGGTGACTTAAAATTTATAAGCATCAAAAACCCAGCCTTGAGTGTGTGCAAGGGTTATACCAGGAATTTTGGCAATGAGGAGAAGGACCTCCTTACTGAAACAGCCAGAGGCTATCAGTATTTGGGGCCATTCCCACCACAAAGAGCAGATTCTGGGGTACATCAGAGCTCAAGTTGCCATCCATGCAGACCCCACCTTGCATGGACCCAGCGGTTACAGACTTTCATTCAAGATTTTAATAATTCTCAATTTACAGTATTTTTATTTTGGTGCAAAGTAGAAACATTTCAATAAAAGAACACAACACATACCTAGTGACAAAAATGCATAAAGCAGAATTCTTTGATTCTAAGATAAATTTTCTGCCTTTTTTACGGTTCTGAAACCCAGATCCATGATACAGTGGCACTCTCATAACCTGCTCTGTCTGCAGCATCAGGACCGGGTCATAGACCAAGGCCACTGGGAAGCTGGATGAGGCCTCTATCCCCTCCTCCTGGCCAGGACTGCCCGACTCACATCAGTCACCACTGTCTTTCCCATCACCCACTTTGTTTGTATGTGTTTACAAATATAATATCCTAACCACTTTTAAGTGTACAGTTCAGTGCCATTAGCACATCCACATGATTGTGCATCCATTACCACCACTGCTTCCAGAGCTTTCTCATCTTCCCCAGTTGAAACTCTGCACCCAGGAAAACATCCACTCTTCATTCCCCCATCTCTAGCTGCTCACAACCACCCTTCCATTTTCTGTGCCTATGAATGTGACTACTTAGGGAGCCTCATGTAAATGGAATCAGACAATAATTATCCTTTTATGCCTGGTTTATTCCATTTAGCATAATGTCCAAGGTTCATCCCTATCATAGCCTGTGTCACAATTTCCTTCCTTTTTAAGGCTGAGTAATATTCCATTACTTGCATGTACTTTTGTTGATCCATTCATCAATCTATGGGCACTTGGGTTGCTTCTACCTTTTGGCTGCTGTGCATAAAGCTGCTGCGAGCATGGGTGTGCAGATACTAGTTCAAGTCTCTGCTGGCAATTCTTTCAGGTCTCTCCCCACCAGCAAAATTGCTGGATCCTACAGTAATTATGATTAATTTTTTGAGGAACCACCATACTATTATCCATAGCTGCTGCACCATTTTACATTCCTACCAACTGTCCCCTCTGCCTATTTTCCTACCAGGAGGCTTGAGTTGTAGGGTACACATGCATTCCTCCCTTTGGCGCCCACTCTTCAGGCTCTCGTCCTAAAGTCTCCTGATCTCCCAATATGTTCCTGCCAGTCACAGGTGGTACTGACCATGGCCTGTCTCACCCTGTCTGTGTCCCTCAGTGCAGTTTCCAGGTCTGAGCTGGGCATGGGCTGACCTGCTATTGTCCCCTTGTAACTGCCCCTCCTGAGGGCCCTCATTGTTAGAGGAAGATTCTGAGGTTCCAGGTGGTCCACAGCCTGGCTCTCAGGTGGAGTGGGGCACAGGCACAGGCTTTGGGGCGCAGACAGAGCACACATGGCTGAATTCTGGGATACCCGCGTGCTGGGGCAAGTCACTGTTCATGTCAATGGGTCCCACTTAAGGACAGCCAAAACCAGTTTCCAATAAGAAGTATGCATTTCAGGGCCTCCCTGGTGGCACAGCAGGTTGAGCACAGCGCTGTGAAGCTGCCTGCAGCCTCTGCAGTGCGGGTTCGGTTCCCGGCTAGCCAGGGAGATATCCACATGGCACGGCAGACCTCTCCTCAGCAGTATATTTTGTCAGTCTGCCTGTTCTGTTCCCCATTCTGTCTCTGGTGAATCCTCTCACCCTCCCATGCCCCTGGCCTATACGCCAGTTCTTGTATAAATAAAAAATATATATATATATATCTTTAGGGAAAAAAAGAAGCATGCATTTCAGAGTTTCAGACAGAATGGTCCAGAAAGGGAGACTGCGAAACACCATCTTATTATGTGGAAATCCATTCTTACAGACAATGGCGAAAAAATCAGAATTACAGTTGTATGGAAAACATGTATAATAAGGCTGCTGGAAATGTTATTTGATGAAGAAGGAATTGATGGAAATTCCCGAGACTGGCACCAAACGGTGAGGTGACAGTTGGACAATTCTTGCACATAATATCCATAGCACACTGTCTCCCCCACCCCCCGGCTCCATACCCGAGTGTTTCCTTGGCCCCAGGAGGATCTGGCTTTGACTAATTCCTCCTGCTGCAGAACAGAACAGAGTCAGAAGCCCCCCCTGTGTCCTATATGTAACATGTTCCTCCCCGGGCCAGTCCATCCATTTCAAAGCCTTAAGTGTTTTCAGTGTGGTTTGATTGATTCACCACCTGTAAATTTCTGAGGAGCCAATGATAGGATGATCACTATCGGGGTTTTCATGTGTCCACAGGCCAAGTTTAATGGGCCAATCTGCAGCGAAATAGGGCTTGTTTTCTATTTTGCTTCAACTAGCAAAATTCCATGCCTGTTTCCAATAACGGAAGAAAACCTAGAACAATGAGTTGCTAAGCATGGGAATGCAATTTTCCACTCAAGGAACTAATTATTTAGAATTTTTAAAAAGAGCCTCAGGACACAGAAGCTAACATTTTGGCCCGGAAATTGAAAATATTTAGCTGCTACTTTGCTAAATTGGTAGCATTTGAGTTTTATGCTCTTTTGCCTCGTGCAAATCAACATGCAAACATACATAATTACAAGGGTTTAAGCATCCCAAACATGATTTTTGAATCATTTAAAATCTCATCTGCAATAAATACTACTTCAAATGGCTGGGTTTGTTCTGAGCCAGTTTTGAAGTCTAAACATTTCAGATGAGCTAAATAGAACAAAAATAAACTCTGGACTAGAAGATCAATTAGTGGTTACCAGAGGGAAGGCGGAATCAAAGTGGGGACAATGGTGTGCTAAAGAGCAGATTTGGACTTTGAGACATACATATGCAGTATTACACATGCTGATTCTCAATGACAAACCCCTAAAATTTATATGATATTATATTGTAATGCTGCAATTAAAAAAAAAGGAAAAATAAAATGTGTTTTGACCTGCGGGTTGCATGTGCAGTGAACTCTCTTTTCTTCATGACTCATCCACACACTAACAACTCTAGAAATTTTATTTGGCTTAGGACAGATAAATTGTCACCACTATATTGTCAATTTATGCACCACAGTCCATTAAGGGCAGCTGCAGCCGTCTAAAGTATGATTTTGGTTGGTGACGCAGAATGGGAGGTAGACTTGGGGCTCTAACCCACATACCCTGTTGGGGTCCCACAAAGTGGAGAGACTGTGAGCTCTGACCAGGAAAAGAAGGGAAGGAGCCAAGTCACACCCATTAAGGACACTTGCCACACACGGGCAGATGTCGAGGACACCACAGGTGAAATAAGCCAGACGCCAAAGGACAAACCCTGCATGGGTCCAAGTAGGTGAGGCCTGAGGCGTCAAATCCACAGACACAGACAGTAGAATTGTGGGGAGAAGGAAAATGGGGCGTGCTAAGGACTGAAACTCTGTTCCTTCCCTGGATGTATATATGGAAGTCCTAACCCCCAGGAGCTCAGAGTTTGAAGGTATTTGGAGACAGGATTTTTATAGAGATAATGAAAGTGAAATAGAGGTCACTAGGGTGGGTCCTAATCTACTATGGTCTCCTTAAAAAATTCTAGATCTGCGGCCTCTCTGGTGGCGCAAGGGTTAAGATGCAACCTATGAAGCCATCTGTAGCCACTGCAGCACAAGTTCGATCCCTGGCCAGGGAGCTACCCACATGGCACAGCAGACCTCTCCTGACTCGCCTGCTGCTCCCCTCAGCATTGTACTTTGGTCAATCTGCCTGTTCTGCTCCCCACTCTGTTTCTGGTGAATCCTCTCACCCTGTACCTCTGGCCTGTACCCCAGCTCTTGTATGCATAAATAAATCTTTAAAAAAAAATTCTAGATCTGGACACACACACACGTGCACACACAGACAGAGAGACCAGGTGAGGACACAGGGAGAAGTCAGTTGTTACAAGTCAAGGGGAGACGCCTCAGAGAACCAGCAACTTCTTCTTCACTCTTCACAATGCTGCCCCCCAGGCAAGTGTGATCCAGGCACCCAGGGATGGAAGAAGCCCTAAGAGTCTACATCTTGATGACTGTGCTCCTGCCATGTGGCTTTGCTCTCACACCCACGATGTGGGTCTCCAGCCTCCAGAACAGGGAGAAGCAAAGGTCTGTTGTTAAGCCCCAGCCTGCGGTGTTTTGCTACCGCCAACCCAGCAGAGGAATCTGGGGAGCGGTAGTTTATTGGGTACAGGGCTTTAGTGTGGGATGACGGCTGAGCGAGGTGCATGATGGTGACGGTCAAACAGCAACGTGTACCCTCAACACAGTTCACACGGCACATTTTACATTATGCATAGGTTACCGCAATACAGTGATCTGTCATTAAAGGGGAGAGGAAGGGAAATGGGTACTTACTTTGCTTCCAAGGCCAAGGCGATGATGCCTGCCACCATGGGGGCTGAGACGGAGGTCCCCGTGTGGCCGTCAGTGCAGCGCTGACGCAGATCCGTGGTGACCTGGAGGAGGGGGCGCCGAGGGGCTAACGTCAGCTTTCAGGAGAGGCCAGAGGCTACTCAAGATGCTGCTCCCAGTGGGTGCGGTCCAAGGACCCGGAGACGAGGAAGACCCTAGCAGCTGCCTCTCGGGACCACGCCTGCATGTGGGCGTCTGGAGCTCCCTGCCAAGGGGCTTTGCTCTTGGCAAATGTGGACCCGCTGGAAGAATGAGCTAGTATGGGGTGAGAACAGGGAGGTAAGGCACGGAAGACAAGCATCCGGAAGCCCCAAACTCTGACAACTGTGGGTGTGTATGCTGAGACCAAAGGCCAGACAAGATAAAACAAAGGGGGCCCTCCAGGCAGAGCCTGCCAGAGCCCACTCTCTCACCCTCAAGTCACCCTCTGACATGTGAACAACTGGAAACACGCAGAGGAGCCAGCTCGCCTGGTGAGAGGTGTTTCTGCTTTTAGCCAGAAGGTCAGCATCATTCTCCCCGGGGATGCCCTCCTGACAGCAACAGTGTCCACCACAGGAGCGGGTCACCCTGGGGGTGTTCTCCACCTCACAGGGCTGCATGTGCCGACAGGAGCTCTGCACTCCCTCCCCAGGGGGTCCGATTCCACACTCCGGCCCTTGAGACCACACCACCTCATCAGCAAGTCGCCTTGGAAGTGAATTGGAGACGCAGCAATGGTGGGCATGTGTGGGCCCAGTGCTGTGACACCCCTGTGCAAGACAGGACCGGGCCCCTGTGCACTTTGCAACTGGGATTAAGGTTGCTCACCAGCTGACTCTAAATCAAAGAGGGTATCCTTGATTCTCGGAGGGCAAAGGGGGGCAAAGCAATCAAGGGTCCTTCACTGCAGAAGAAAGAGGCAGGGAAGTCTAGCAGAGAGGCACAGGAAGCACTGGCCCGATGTTGCTCTTTGAATGGGCAGCTGGGGACCCAAGTGAGGCCATGTGGGTGGCCTGTGGAAGCTGAGAACGGCCCTCAGTGGACAGCCCACAAGGAAATGGGAGAGCTCAGTCCTGCAACCACAGGAGCCGGTTCTGCCAGCAACCCGCCCAAGCGAGGAGTGGATTCTCCCCCCAGCCTCCTGGAAGGAAGCAGCTGGGTCGACCCCTGGACGTCAGCCTCATGACACCGCGACGCTCTGACCTACAAAACTGGGAGCTAATAAATTGGTGCTGTTTCAAGCTGCTAATCTGTTATGACAGCAATAGGAAGCAAATACACCCACCCAACTGCTGGGCTCCACTTGCTGGAAGAACCCTCGAGAATGAATCCCCAGATGATGTAACACAGACCCTCCTCCCAATAGAGCATCTTCCTTCATTATCTTTCAGCAGGGATTGGGGGGCATCCCCCAGGGAGAGGTGATCCAGCCCGCATTACACACAGAGGAAGACTTAACAGAAACACTAGCAGAGATCAGCCTCCTCTGCACATTCCCGCACCCAAATTTAGAGCGAGGCATCTCCATGTTGGGGAGAGCAGCTGAGGGCAAGGGATCAGGGAGCAGGATGCGACCTCCAGGATTGTCACTTGCAAATGGGAATGTTGATATGCCCTTCACACAGCTCCTGTGAAGGTCACAGCTGGACACCTGGCACATCCTTGTGCTTGATAAATGGTGACCAGTAAGGGAAAGTGAGGGTGTCTGGGCAGGAGGCCAAGCTCCCAGGAGCAAGGGTGGTCCCACAGCGGTTCTCCAGTCAGTGAGCAGAAAGGCCTCCCTGCAGGGAGGGGATGGCTGAAACCAGTGGGCTGCCTGGAACACAGCCTGTGCTCGGAGAATGAAGGGAAGAACCGTGAGAGATGCTCGCTCTGAGTGTCCCTCTTTTCACTGAGTCCCTGCGTAGCCAGGGCAACCCCCACCATGCCGTAGGTGCCGTAGCAGGCCCTCCCTGGGTGGAGAGGAGCAGAGAACGTGGAGCACAGAGCTTAAATTCCCAACCTGCTTGACCTCCGCAGGCCGTGAGTGGCCCACTGTCCCCACTCAGGCCCTTAGTCAAGGGGCTCCGAGCAAAAACACGGCTGTTGTTGAACTGAAAAAGAAAAAATGCCACCCATACTGTCCAAGAAGAGCTCCAGACAGCTCTGGCTGAGTATGTTTGCTCTTTTATTATTACTTTCCCAGTTAACCGCACCCCTCTTACCCATATGGCAAGAAGAGAAAGGAAACAAAGGGACAAAAGCATTTTGCAGCTAAGGTGTGCGTACGTGCGTGCACACATACACACGTGTGCCCTCGGTGAGCCATTAAGCAAATAAAGCCGCCAGTCCTGCTCTCGGGGTTGGGGAACATGGGGTCCTCCCAGCATGAAGTCCCTCGGTTCAAAGGAGCCTGGAGCACACGCCCCACTTGCACCCCTGCAGCCAGCAGGCCTCTGTTTCAGACTCCAGCAAGTCCTTGTTCAAACGAGCTAGATTCCTTGCGGAACAGGACACTATTCAGAATCTCAGCTGCCCGTCCCAGGGGTGCGTGCGCCAGGAGAAAAAGAAAATAACAACTTAAATTAATACCTTCGTTAACCAGCCCAGGCCGCTGCCAGGCTGGCGGTGGAATGATCGCGGCTGACCTTTGGGCTGGTGCAGAGCAAAGCAGAGAACAGGAAGCCTGTATGCTTCCACAGAAAAACGCAAAAATAAATTTGCAAATAATTTCTAAAGAAGTGGCTAAGCAGCAGGAGGAATGAAAAGATGCTAGTGAGCTTTAAAATTAATCTATGTCTGGCCAGCTCCATGGTCTCATTTTTAAAATGTCTAAAAACCAACTTAATGACTGTGCATTTGAATTCTGCATTAATTTGGACTTGAAACCTTCCCCTCCTCCTGCTTTTTAAAGTAGGAAGGCACAGAGGGAGGGAAGAAGCCAAATTCCACCCATATGCTGAACTGCAAGTTACTTTTTAAAAGCTAAATCACACTTCGTGTTCATTGACTTGAAGCAACCGAAACCACTGCTGGACAGAAAGTGTTTGAGGAAAGCACTTTTGTCACAGGGGAAGGTCTGGAAGGAGACGTGGATTTCGAAAATGTTCCTGTACAAACCCCAGATTCTCTCTTACTATAGAAAAAGAACCAGTCGTTGGAACGCAAGCAAGGCGACCACAGAATTTCAGACGCATCATGCTGAGAATGTACCCCCTTCTTAAATGACATTTTTAGAGCTCTAAAGGCAGAGAGAGGGTTTTAATTGGTATTTTTGGTGTAAAGATTAGAAAGGCAGGTCTGTGGACAGTTGCCAAGGGACTGGGCAAGTTCACTGCTGGGTGAGGCTGGTACCCTGGGGCTGGGAATATAGTGGCCTGGACCTGACTCATCTTTTCATTAAGAAAAGGAACTGAGCTCCAAAGGGTCGGGGGTGTGCACCCCAAGCTCGCCACGTGGCCAAGAGCACTCACAATTTTCCGCTCGTAAAAGGCTCCGCTGCTGTAGGTGGTGGCGAGGGTGGACGCGCACTCCTCCAGGTACCACGGCTTGTAGCCGTTCTCGGTGGTGCTGCTCACGGAAATGGTGTAGATGCTGTTGGTGTAACCATCACAGGAACAGTAGTCGCCCTCTCGCCCGCCGTTCCCGGAGGCCCAGACAAAGATGGAGCCGAGGCCCTGCCGGCCCTAGAGGCAAGGAAAACAGGCTCAGCTCTGCAGCCAGAACCTCCCTGAGGGCCTGGGCCCCTCCGTCAAACAAAGAATGTGGTCACACCATCCCAGGCCACCAAGGACCTGGTTTTATGGGCCCTGTCTTGATTTTTTTTTTTAATTTATTTTTTTAAAGATTTATTTATTTATTTATTTATTTGTTTATTTATTTATTTATTTATTTATTTATACAAGCACTGGGTACAGTCAGAAGCACGGGAGGGTGAGAGAATTCACCAGAGCCAGAGCAGGGAGCAGAACAGGCGGAAGGACTGAAGTACACTGCTGAGGGGAGCGGCGGGCGGCAGGAGAGGTCTGCGCGCCACGTGGGACCCTCCTCTGGTGGCCGGGGAGCAGCCGGGGATCAAACTGGCGCTGCAGAGGCTGCGGGCAGCTTTGCAACCCAGCGCTCAACCGCTGCGCCACCGGGGAGGCCCCCTGTCTTGATTTTAATAGAGCATTTGGACTGTGGCAACAGTCTTTACACTACAGAATCACAGGATGGTGCTGGGGAGAAAGCCCGGAGAGAGGTCTCTGCTTTTCACAGGAAAATCAAGGACCTCGCTACAAGCTAGGCTGCTCCAGTCATGCCTATCATTTCCATGGTAATCACCCACGATCAGAAAGCCCAAATGGTGCCTGCAGCAGTGTTGAGATGAGAGAGGATGGCGGGATATGGAATGTCAACTTTTCTGGATCGAGAGAGCTAGCCCCAGCGGGGGCAGAGAGCAAATCTTCCTGACAACACACTTGAAGAAGCACTCTTCTTAGAGAGCCAACTCATTTTGAAAAAAGGGGTGGGACCATGAATTCTGGGTGAAGAACAAATGAGTAAAAAGGGTTGTGTTCCAGAACGCCCATGGCTGCTGGCGGCTGTCCTGGGAGACTCCCGGGGTCTCCACCGTGGGAAGTGCTGACATGTCAGATTAACGATGCCAGCCAAGGCCAGCGGCACCCCTGGTGTGCAGGTTTTTGTTTTCAAGAACATACATGTGAAAGTGAGGCTTTGAAAGACAATGATGGCTCAGGGGCAGGCCTCCGCGGTGCCGTTCTAGCCCACACCCACAGGATCAATGATTTCTGAGCAAACCAAGGGCTCCTCCCAGCCACAGACACCAGCTGGAGATCAGTTAATCCCAGACCGGACTGAAACTTTGGTCCAAGAGTCTGGATGGAGGGTGGTGCTCAGCCAGGTCTGAGAGTGATGGCAACACAGGTCTCCACACGACTCAGTACCAATGGGGCTGGTGACTCTGGTGTCCTTGCTAAGGACCCTCCTTTGCAAACATGCACGAAGAAACTGAGGCTTATACACAACCAGCTGGCTTAGAGATAACTTTGAACATAAGTCCACAACACATCCCCCTCACCCTCCCATGCCTCCAAATCTGCAATATCTACAGCGACAAACTGAAGTCTTACTGCTGAATGTACCTGCCTGCTCTGGAAGCCCCACGGGATGCCACTTGGCAGACAAGTGGGCCACAGTTCCCTCCCTTCCAAGCCTATTTGTCCAAACTCCTGCACTTCCTCCAGTTCCAACCTCAGGCTCTCCCTGAACCCCACAGGCAGGGTCCTCTTGCTCACCCAGGCCAACTGCTCCAAGCCAACTCATTTTTTCTGCTTTTCACATCTCCAAGGTGGACTCTGCCAAGGGCTGGAAAGAACGGTTACTTATATTTAGCAAAAAAGGTCAAGCTTCTGGAAGAAAGGCACAAAGTACTACAGAAATGGGTGTGTCCATGCACACAACTACCTGCAGGAAAAGAGTCATCAGAAGCTAGTTCCAAGCCACTAAAATCCCAAGGGAAAGGTGTCTAACCCATCAGAACCTATCACCTCCAAGACACTGTCACCTCTAGCTCCCCACTCGACTCCAGATCATTCCAGACAAAAGCGGAACATGCAGGCTTACTGCAGCAGCGGCAGCACCGAGAATGGCCTCAAACAGAGCTTGCCTCCTCCCGTGAGTGTACGTCATATTCCAACTCAGCAGCCTCTGGCTGAGCCCGAGACCGTGAATTTTTAACAGGTTCCCAGGTGATGCCAGCGCTGCTGGTCCTGGACTCCACTTTGAATAATAAGGTCCTAAAATGACAAAGGCCAGCATCTTCTGACACAGTGTATTTTCTGTACTATCAGTTCCCACAAGCCTCAAAAGCCTCTTTCCATTCTGAAAAGTTTTCTGGAAAGAGAACATGGGACTGACTGAGCGGAGGAAATGCCAAGTTCTGAGGTGTCTCAGCTGCTTCTGAGGGCTGTGTTTGACTTTCCAGGTCTTCCGTTCCCAGGACAGCCACAGGATGGAACCACGTGGGGCATCTCACCCCTAGCCATGACCTTGTCTCTGTGTTTAGGAAAGCAACAGCCACAGCCCCAACAAGATGTATTTCAGCATCTTGCCGGGCACTGGAGAAGTCATCCGGGAGCTCAGAGGCACCTTTACAGGAGACCAGCAAGATGCCCAGCATCTGGGCGAGGCTGGTTTTTTGGCCACAGTGACATTTAATGTCCCTTCTCAGTGACAGGCCATGGGAGGGTTCACATGGCTCACATTAAACAGATCTTCATGCCAATTATGGCTTCTGAAGTCTCCTACCGCCAAACCACATCATCTACCAAAGATGAAGTCAGATTTTACAGAAAGAGGCCATAAGTGACAAATGGGGTGATGAGGAGGAAAAACAGATGGGGAATGCGGTTGGGTTTGAGATCATCAAATTTCCAGGAGGATTTTCAGTGACAACTTTAGACAGCTGCGATTTAAGGCTCCCTACGTGACATATTTTACTTCACAATGACTTAAAAAAAAAGGAATGACCTCAGTATTTCAAGAAATAGTGACAAGAATGACAGGGAACCACATGGTCCCCTCTGCAATTTCCTCACTCCCCTGACAGCCCTATGAAGCAACGCTGCTCGGCATTCTGATGCAAAGATGCCCTCTCTGCAGCTCCAGACCTCCCAAGTCCTACACCGGCTCCATCTACGCTGACCGAAGTGAACTTGAAAACCTGGAAAATCCTTTGAAAACCACCATTATCTGTTCTGGAAATAGGGGACTCTGTCTTAAACCCCGAAACCTTTAGAAATCATCTCATGGAAATGACAGACGTGCAGTATTAACACCATTTGAAGCAGTGTCTTCCAGGCAGAAACCGCGCCCTCTGACTTCCAGCTTCAACTCATTTCTGGGCTGTTTCACTCTCCAGAAGAGTGGGCTCATAGGATCTAGTGGGTGGTGGGAGTTGAGTATAGGGGAGATGAGATTTTTTTTATCAGGCAGCCCCTCTGCAGATAGTGCCTGACTTGGTCACGCCTGAACCTTCTAGAATGCCCTGGGCCCAGCACCTGGCACAGTTGGGAGCCCAGAAGCTTGAATGAAGCAGTTTTTGCCTTTCCTTGGCATTGTAAGGACTAGGAAGCTGCGTGCCATCATGGAAGTGAGGCCGAATGCGGCGGACGCGCTGTGTGGGTCTGACGGCCCCTGCTCTCCTTTTCACAAGGCGTCTCTGGCTGAGCTCAGCCCTGAAGGACACAGGCAGATGCCCTGCTTTGGTTACTAGCTTCACAGACATTCAAGCCCCAAGTGGTCTCAGGGAGAGGGCGGCAGAGGAAGCAGGCTTGGCTGACTAGTGGAACATTCCAGGAGGAGGCGCAGGCGGCTCACCTGGCTGTGAGGTTCAGGGTGATGTGTCTGTCACCTCAAGTCTAAGGGATGAGGGGAAACAAACCCCAGGTATTCACTAGCCAGGCGGTGGGGGCAGGCATGGCTGGGGGCATTCTAGAGTTGATTATCAATTTCCATAAAAGAAAAGAAAACTAACATAAAATGACCATTCAATATGTCCAGAAAAGCAATCAAATCATATGATTTAGAAAAAGTTAAAAACAAAAAAAGATTGTTCCTTCACGGGGCAGGACTGGGGGATGGGCAGGGGAGACAAAAAAAGACTGGTACTATTTGATTTATTCATTAACTATTTATTGGGCACAATTCAATGACTACGCACACGGATACAATAAGATAACTTCAAACATATTTTTAAACGCATAAATAATAAAATGGGCCCCTCCTCCACCCCACTCTCCTCTCTCCCGTGGAAGACAGAGGTAGAAATGCGCCCCAGGTTGCCTGTACTTCCTGCCCAAATGCTCATTGGCCTCGCTGAGCCACACCTTATGCTCTGGGTTGGGATTTGCTGGGCCACCCGGACGCTGACCACAGCTCTGTCGGCTGCAAGAAGCTGTCCTGGCCCAGAAATCTGTCTGACCACCCTGTTTGTAAGAACTGAGTCGTTGCCAGTCCCTCCTGCCTCCCCTTGCCTTTCTGACACACAAGGTCCCAGAAAGGGTGATCACAGAATGGCCGGCGGGTGGGCCTCCTGGTCAGTGGGCATCAAGAAGGAGCCTGCCAGCCTCCCTACTTCCTCTCAGAAGCTCAGTGGTGGGAAGAACCACTGAGCTGGATGTTTACTCTGTTTAGTCCCTGGGGAGGTTCTGCTCAAGAAGTTCTAAACTTGCCAGGCTATGTGCTGGCAGGGAGGACAAGACCGAGGTGGGTCTTGAAGGGGGTGGATCCCCAATATGGAGAGGGGGTAGGGGTACGAATGGGGGGAGGGAGCTGGGCTGGATTTGTGCGCACCCTGTGATGGCCACAGAAAGCTCCCAGACTGGGCATGTATGTGGGCAGGCGGATTAAGGCCCAGGACTTACCTTCACCCACAAATAACAGGCTAAGTGATCAGACTAAATACTGCCCCTGCCCCCCACCACCACACATTCACCTGCACACACCTGCAGGACCAGTCAGGCTCCAAGGCACAGAGTCCAAGGCAGATGCTGGTGGCATTGGAACAGCCATTCCGTGCAGGTGTGGGGCACATGTGGAAAGCTGCTTCCCTGAGCTCCTACGTGGTCTCCCTCACTGGGGTTCTGGATCAACATAGCCTTTCTGGTCCCATTTGGAGCCTCTGCTTTTTAACTGTCAAAACTATTTTCACTATTCCCCTGGACCCCGAAAGTTCCATCATAGCCCTGGGTTACTCACACCTTTTTAATGCCATACTCGAAGGCCTGTTTCGCCAGTCGGCCAGGCCCGTCCACTGTCTTGCCGTCATCGTCTGGGCCCCAGCTCGCGCTGTAAATGTCGATGTAATTGGGCCTGATGCCCAGAGACTTGGCCTCGACAACATCTGTCACATCCCCATCCAGCATGCGGATACCTGCAAGCAGAGAAGGAGGCTGAGTGTTCGCTCATGCTTCCGTGAGCCACAGAGGTAGCACTCCCGGTGCTGGGGTACAGCTGGAGAGCCCCAGGTGGTTTATGGGTTTTTCCAATGTCATTTTGGAAACCTTTCTCCGTGTCAAATGCTGGCCAAAGGGAAAGAATTAAAATGAGGGCCTTCCTAGTAGCGCAAGGGGTTAAGACGCAACACTATGAAGCTATCCGCAGTCTCTGCAGCACAAATTCAATCCCCGGCCAGCCAGGGAGCTACCCACATGGCGCAGCAGGCCTCTCCTGCCTCACCCGCTGCTCCCCTCAGCAGTGTATTTCAGTCAATCCACTTGTTCTGTTCCCCGCTCTGTCTCTGGTGAATCCTCTCACCACCACCCCCCACCACACACACCTCTGGCCTGTACCCCAGTTCTTGTATGCATAAATAAATAGATCTTAAAAAAAAAAAGAGACATCGAGAACAGTGTTGGCTTTGCTGCAGCCCCGCCAGAGCCAGCAGCTCCTGGGGAGATGGTGTCCCTGGCAGGGGACACCTGCTTGCAGGGTCTCACCTGGGACCCTTGCCAGCCGGCCAGGATCGAACCAGTGCTGCAGAGGCTGTGGACAGCTTCACAGCGCTAAACTCAATCGCCTGCGCCACCAGGGGAGGCCCAATGTTGTCTTTTGTGCTAAAAGCAAAAATCCATTCACGGAGCAGGAACAAGTAGCCATGCAGGTCTTTCCTCAAAGCTGGTGTCAAGAGACAAGTGGGGATACTTTGGACAAGTGGGGATACTGAATAGGTTTTAAACAGATTCTTTAGTACTGTGAACGTAAAAATGGACTTCAGAGTGTTTTTCAACTTTCCAGGATGTTGACAGTGTCATTTTTTTTTAAAAAAAGAATCATTTCCTTCCTGATTTCATAATTAATTTTAACCTAGAAGCCCATGAGGTGGGGGCATCTCATCCTGTGTGTTCAGGTTGCATATTTCCTGGGAGCATAGTTGCTTCCAGAGCATCTCAGGAGAGGGGGTGAGCAGGTCCACCAGCATCTCTCGACCAGGGGGTCCTCCTTGCCCCTCATTTGGTTCCATGATGATCAGACTCTGCATCCAGTAGGTATGACTGCACCTCACCTCTATCCTCCCAATTCACCCACCCCCATCCAGGGTCTCACCTGGGGAAGGTGGGGCTCCTGCGATGTGTGTGACTGGGAAGCAGGGGGTAATTTGACAGCCACTGGCAGGCCCTGCCTGGATTCTAGTAAATACTTAAGTAGGACTTCTCTGAGGCTCTGCATCCCCACCCTACATCAGCACTGAGGGGGCCACTCAGCCCCCACAGCCCACTCAGAGTCTCCAGGGCCCCTCCTGCACCAGGCCCAGCTCCCTGTATGTGATGGTGAAATCTTTCATCAAAATGCATTTAAATCTTAGTGCTATTAAAGATATAGTAGAAAGAGGGGCTTTTTCTGAATATAACAATACTTTTTACTTATAACAACAATACTTTTTACAGAAAGTCTGGGAAATGGAGAATTACTTGTGACAATATTTTGGTTACTTCTAGGATTTTTCTGTGCCAGCAGCAAGTACTTTCTTTTCAAGTTTTTTTTTTTCCCCCCACCAAATTTTACAGAACACTTCCCTTCACCCAGGAAAGGTTTCTCCAAGACGAGATTGTTAATGGTTGCAGCCCCATCCCCAGAGAAGAGACGTCATGAGCCTCTGATGCCCAGTTACTGATAACAATGCAACCCCAGTCCAGGCAGCACTCTTTCTGAGGTTCACCTTACCAAACCCTTAGGCTGCACTGGGAATATTCATTCTCTATCCAAGAATCTATTTCAACAGATATGCAAAAAAAAAAAAAAAAAAAAAAAAAAAAACCAACAAAGAAACCCCCCCAAATCCAGAATCTCTGAATGAATATAATTGATTTAAAAAAAAAAAAGAAAATTGAGGTTTTTTTTTTCGCCCTAGACTAAGAGTACCAGCTCAAGCGGGAGAAAAATCACAGGAAAGATAGATAGTGATTCTCCCCAGGTGCTCAGGGACTTACATGTTATGAAAATTACACCTGTCTGCCCTGTCCATTTCAGCTGTAACTGTGCAGATACCCTGCTGTCATGTTTGACAGATATCATAGGCAAAGCACCCAACCACACACATTTCAAATGATCTTGTTCTCGAATCTCTTGCCAAGCAGAACATGCAGTGTAAACAGATAACTAAATGCACTTTATGATTTGTCAGGGGGAGAAACATCCTACACCCAAAGATAATTTGAAGAAGACGCAACAGTAGTTTTGTGACTTTTTCCAGCCTATCAATTCCTTCTACCCATTTTCAAAGGCTACGGATTTCCCCACGTTTCCCCCTTAGCATCTGGCCTGCAGTCCCCCAACTGTGAGATGAGAGTGTGGGAGTCATCTCAGAGGACCCCTGGGAGGCTGGGTTGGGGAGTAGTGGGGGTGGGGAGAGGGAAGCCCAGGATGTAGCATCAGGGCCTGACACCTAGCAGGGACCCCATGAGGCCTAGAGAGTCCAGCCCCCACAGCCTGGAAATTGTGTCCAAAATCAGAGCTGGGGAAATGGATAGCACAATAACGAGGGGGCTTGGGTGATGGCGAAGTTCATCAGAGTGTGGACTATGTAACCTCAATAATTAATTAATAATAGAAAATAAACAATAGAAATGAACTTAAATCTTGTCTCCTGGTTCTCTATATCTCTTCCTCTTTCTGCCTGCAATGGACTGAATGGTGTGTGCCCCCACCTCACATGTTGAAGGCTTACCCCAATGTGATAGTATTTGGGGTGGGCTCTTCGGGAGGTGATTAGGTGTAGATGAGGTCAGGAAGGGATTAGTGCTTGTATAGGAAGAGCGAGCAGAGAGCTCTCTGGGGTCTGTCTCCATCCTGTGAGGCCCAGAAGTTGGTGTCTGGGAGCCACAAAGTAGGCCCTCAGGGGAATGGGAGGCTGCACCTTGACCTTAGGCTTCAGGCCTGCAGGACAGTGAGAAGCATGTGTCTGTTGTTTAAACCACCAATCGGTGGTATCTTGTGGTGGCAGCGGGAACTGACCAGAGGGGACCTTAGCTGCCTGGCTGCAGGAAGGCCCAGGGAGCCACCTTTGTCCAGGTACTGAAATAGGGCGCTGTGGATCATGGACACAGCTCATGGCTCACTCTGGAGGAGAGGCCAGTGGAGCAGAGCTCCCCTTGTGCCAGCAAGAGGGAGAAGGTCACGCCGCAGGTGACCACGCCTTGGCGACCAACTGTGGCCGGCTAGTGACTGCGCATGCTGCATCTCACAAAGTCTCCATTTTTTATAAATCACCATGGTATCTACCCACAGAGGTGCCATACGACTAAAAAAGATGACTGGTGTAATGCACCTGGCATGCCGTGAGCCCTCAAGGCACAGGTGGGTGGCTATTTTGACCCCACTGAGCCTCATTTCCCCATTTGTAAAAGAGGCGGTACTAACATCGCCTCAAGGGGTTGGTGATAACAGTAACCCTTTTACCTTTATTTTCTAAATGTACATTGTCTGATACATACGAGGGTTCGGATGGCACATGCACGTTAGTTATAGTATCTAATAAAATAACGGACTCTCTGGGACCTCCCCTGGTGGCGCAGGCAGTTGGGTGCAGCTCTGTGAAGCTGTCCGCAGCCTCTGCAGTGCTGGTTCGATCCCGGCTGGCCAGCGAGAATCCCACATTGTGCGGCAGACCTCTCCTGTCTCGCCTGCTGCTCCCCTCAGCAGTGTATTTCGTCAGTCTGCCTGTTCTGCTCCCTGCTCTGTCTCTGGTGAATCCTCTCACCCTCCTGCACATCTGGCCTGTACCCCAGTTCTTGTATAAATGAATAAATAAATCTTAAAAAAAAAAAAGGACTCCCTGAATGCAATGCAGGAGCAAGAACATGACCTGCCAGGGTCCCCACCCATGCGTCCTCCTGTCACTGCCTCCTCCTCACAGAGGAAAGTGCTTAGAATTTTGGATTATGACACTCATTGTCTTTTTTAAAACTACCATTTTAACACAATTGTAGGCATGCCCAAATAATATATTGCACAGTTTTGCTTGCTCTAGGAATTAATCCTTTGTTGGTTATGTGTGCTATAAATGTCCTCACCCAGTTGGTGCCTTTTCTTCTCACTTTGTGGGGTCTTGATAAACAAAAGTTCTTAATTTTCATCGAATAAGAACTAATTCCTCGCTGAAGATTAAGGGAGTTATGATGGAGGCCAAATCATTTCTGGGTTGGTCAGCATCGAGTGCGGGGTTCCTTTCTCCTTAACAGGCAGTCACCCCTTAACGGAGTCACCCCTAACCAAAGCCCACACGGACTGTTACATCAGCTCATTGTGCTTTCTCCTTTCTGATGGGTCAGGACAATGCAGTGTGCCCAGGACTTCCGTCTCCAATGCTGTGTCAAAGATGCCAGGGTCAGGCACCAGGGCTCTGGGCATGGAGCACACCCAGTGTGGGAAGGTGGCAGTGAGATGCAGCAAAGGGGAGATAGACAGCAGCTTGCAAGGCGGGATGGAGAGAAGAAGCCAAGAGTTCTAGAGAGGAAGCTCAGCTCTGTGTGACCTGAAGCCAGGGTCTCATAGTCTATGAACCCCCATTTCCACAATATTTAACTAGTGGGGTAGTGGAGAGGACTATATATGTTGAGGCACTGATGCCTAGTTCTGCTGGAGAAATGGCAGCTGCATTCTCTGTCCAGGGCAAGAGACCCTTCTGGCCACCCAGGTAGCCAGCCAACTCTGATGTCCCAGTGGGGACACTTGCCCTCCTATTCCAGGATGTCCCCATGCAAGTTAGGGATGCTGAAATGTTTAACAGGAAGCATTAGATGCCAGAAGGCATCCCCAAAATATGTAAAAATGTAGGACCAGAATGATTTCTCCACACCTCACACAATGCTTTTCATCTTGGAAGAAAGTGACGTGCAAGGTAGAAAGCATAATGTCTTTAAGTTTTAATGAAGC